ATCTTATTTCTAGATACTTGCTGCTGAGGATTGAGACTAAACTGCGCGTGACGAGGCTATGTGCATGATTCTAGTATTGAAAGCTTCTCACGAGTTTGGGTTCATTGCTTTTTTTTTTTTTCCCTCTTTTCGTTCATTAGAGAGAGAGAGAGAGAGAGAGAGAGAGAGAGAGAGAGAGAGAGAGAGAGAGAGAGAGTAGGTCGAGGGCGAGCGAAGTCGTGCAGTAGCGTAGAGTAGCGTCGTAGAGAGTCGAAGTTGAGTGCAGCCAGCGTCATTCGAGATCAAAGTCGAGTGCAGCACAGAGAGAGAGAGAGAGAGAGAGAGAGAGAGAGAGAGAGAGAGAGAGAGAGAGAGAGAGAGAGAGAGTCGAAGAGAGTCAACGTCGAGCACAGTAGCGTAGAGTAGCATCGTAGAGAGTCGAAGTCGAATGCAGCCACCGTAGAGTCGAAGTCCAGCGCAGTAGCATACAGTAGTGTAAGTCGAGTCACAGTAGCGTAGAAGTTGTGCGTAGGCAGCTGTCAGCTGGCCGCCTCCCCGAAAAAAGTTTGTCACATGGCCCTGCGTGGCACTACGGGGCCCTGAGGAGTGCGAATTTGCAGCCACCTCCCTTAGAAAAAGTAGTTACAAACCTTCGGGCTTCTGGCCAAGCGCGGCACTACCAGGGCCTGAGGAGGTGAAATTTGCGCTGGGCCGGTACACCCTGGCCTCGTAGTACCGTGCGTGGCACTACCGGGCCAGGGCCTGGTGGCCCAGCTACAGGCCCAGCGATCGTATTGAAAACGATCAACACACAATCTGGGCCATGCCGTAGAATGCCGACGACGGTCCAGATCGTGAGTTGATGACATTGAAAACGGTCACCAGCCAATCTGGACCGTCGCGTGCCAAGGAAACAAAGCCCCCAGATCAGCTGCTGGTCACATGCTGTGAAATAGCGATTGTTATGCTTGTAGTAACAAGGTTAAAGCTACCTGGGTGCCTGGATTTCTAGTACCTTTAAGAGACCTCAAAATAGAGAACAGGATGCAAAAAAATCAATATAGAAAGACGACGGCATGCAGAATCTTTGATCGGTACATGGAAAGATTAGGTGGGTGGAAAGGGACCAGAAAACAACAGAAGGATTGGCTAATCAATCACTCAATTAAACAAACACTTTTGATTCCTAGATTGCTTGATCGCACTGCACAGAGCTCCAAACACTAGGAAAGAGCAACAGGCTTGCAGATGTTTAAAATGCCTTTTGGCCTGTTATTCACAGTCAGCACCTGCCACAAAATATATGCCATAGGGTTTAGGGTGGCCTTCAGGGGCAGCACCTATCAAGGGTATATTATTTTGGGTTTAAGGTGTAGGGGTGTAGGGGTGTAGGGGTGTAGGGTTTAGGGCTTAGGGTTAGGGTTGAAGGACCACTACCTTTGCCATTCATCGGCTGCGCCTGCTCGTTTCGGAGGCCGAAACAAAACGGCGGCCGCTGATGAAACTTATTAACGGCGGCCGCTGCCGGGGTCAGCCGCCAAAAAAATGTGGTATAGGACCGACCAATGGTTGTATTCCCAACACTGTGAAAGGTAGTGGCGGTTTAAGGGTTAAGGGTTTACGGATAAGGTTTTAGGAACTTTAGGCCCTTTAGGGTGATAGTAACTTCGTGGGCAAGGGTGGTCTTCAGAGTCAGCGGCTATTGGGGATTTAGGGTTCAGGTCCTTCAGGGTTAGAGTAGTCAATTTGTTTTCGAAGGAGAAAGCACGGCTATGCAGATGAAAATTGTTCGGCATCTGAGGATGCGCGCAGTCAGGAAGGCATTCTTTTTTTCTTTTTTGTAAAGAAACGCGGGACCTTATGTTATTGAGCCAGCATCGGATATCACTATGCCCATGGTGACTGTCATCCCATGGATTCAGCATGGGATGAGAAATTGTGCCCAGTTTACGTTGTTTAAGACTGCCATTTTCTTTCTTGGAAGATTCCAGGACATACTAAGCCTGTCTGACAACTGCAGTCTGACATGTCAGGCCTGGCTCAGCCCTGCGACTATCATATGACATGCACGCAACTATAGTCACCACTGGGACTATGATATGACCCTGGACTACTTTTGTATGTTGCCGACGAAAATGCTATAGTCTATATCATGGCAACCGCGGACCCGGACCCGGGCATGTCTGGACCGAGGCCCAGACATTTGTCTGGGCTGGTCCAGATGTCCGGTAATCCGGACAGGCACCGGACAACCGGACAGGACCGGACCCGGACCGTCCGGACCGGTACAACAGACACAAAAAATGTCCGGACCGGAAAAAAAAAACAAAAAAAAACAAAAACATTAGTAATAAGCAGTACTAACCACAGCTTACTGTCTTTCACTATTCACAACTTGACAGCTTCATACTGTCACTGACATTCACACAACACTTGAAACCAGTTCTCAACAGACCAATCCCAAGACACTTCAGAAAAGAGTACGAAATTAGAAAGAAACAGAACTTGAACTTTGAAGTTAGACTTTTTTTTTTTTTTTTTTTTTTTTTTTGGACCATTTCTCGATTTATGCGTGTCATCCTTGCGCAGGGGCCATGCTAATCTTCTCTGTATCGTTCCATTTTTAACGGATGTCCCGGAGGACTGAAGTTAGACTTTCTAATTATGAACCTTGAAAAAAATTAAACTGTTAAGTTATTCAGATCTGCGTAAGAACAGATCTGAGATCTGGTCAGGACCAGATCTAAGACGGGATCTCAGATCTGACCAAAACAATCTCTCTCTCTCTCTCTCTCTCTCTCTCTCTCTCTCTCTCTCTCTCTCTCTCTCTCTCTCTCTCTCTCTCTCTCTAGCTTGATGTTCTGTGGCACTTTGCAGCCAGCGCTTGGAATTGGACTCAGCAGAGGGAGCTGTTGGAGGCGTCTGGCGGCGTCCGGTAGGCCCTGAAATGGCCCAAAAATATGGGGGGCATTTTTTGGGGGCGGCCCAACGTCCTAGGACCCCCCAATTTTTTATTTTATTTTTTCAAAATTGGGCCCAATCCAGACCTCCCGGACCAGACACCGGACCCATACCCAGACAACCAGACTGTCTGGATTCCGGTCCAGACGTCCGGCCGGTTGCCATGGTCTATATGCTTGTAAGGAGGAGATATCCTTGAAAGACATTTCATTTTAGCCATAGGAAGGGTTATAAAGGGGGCTTCAAATTTTGGTCATAAAGGGATGACGGAAAGCTGACGTCGTTTTTGGGCCATGATGCAATGAGGGATGGTCAGCTCTCTGGGAACAAGGGTGTGCAGAAGTGGGACATAATGAACATACCCGTCGCGTAAATCAGCATCAAAGTTCGTCACACGCCGAGCTTGCAGCGGTAGCATTTTCTTGAAATGCAGGGTTAGCCATTTCAGAAGGACATTTTCAGGGACGCTGTACACGTTGCTTCCGACAAGGAGAGGGTCTCCTGCGCGCCGTCGTTTCTTCGCACTTGCTTGCCCTTCGCTCCAGGTGGCAGCATTGTCGCTTCCAAGAGACGAGGGTGAGCGTGGCTGCTGCTGAGATGAGGGTGACTCCAGCGCTGTTGACGCTACAGGGCTCACAGAAGATAACCCAGCAAGTCCGCCGCCATCAACTTGTGTTCCCGGAAGTGTACTTAGCACGCGCGGATTTGCACGGCTCAGGACAAACAGCTTAATGATCTGCCAATCGAATCGGGGGAAACGGGCACATTGCCATAAGTTTAAAAATAATTATAAAAAAACTTAAAAAAAGTCAACTACCAAAAAAAAAATTAAAAAAATTCAACTTTTTGTAAGGCTCCTAAGATCAGGCCTTTCACTTCCGTGGCACTGACAAGTACTGTGTGTGTCTGGGTACAGAGCGGAGGTTTCCCGACCACGACGTGAGCCACGAGGGAGGGAGAGCAGGCATGCATCACTGAACTGCCCCCCATTACCCCCCTGCGTAGCGTCTAGTGCGGCCGCGGCAGGAGGCTGAACTGTACTACCTGCCTTTCTTCCTTTGCTTCTTTGAACGCGGTTTCATGCTTGCCGGTGATAAGGAACTGGACTGTCGCCCCCCAGAATAGATGGGGCCCTTCCGAGCCTGTTTTTGTTGACCCTGAATTTCACTGCGCTCCGAGTTTGCCGAGCCTGGGTACCACTCCGTTTTCTTTCTGGTACTCTCACGGAAAGAACAAAAGAAGAAGAAGAAGAAGAAGAAAAGTTGCGGCCGTGAACTCAGATAAAAAGAAGAAAAAAAAAAATGAAACAAAGCTTTGGCCGTGATTGCAGTTGTATACATTCTTGGAAGTGGTAGTGTGAGTGTGCCCTCAGTGAGGGCATCTCAGCCCCGTGGCCAGGTTGTCAGATTCTAAAAAGAGAATAGAAGGGGGGAAAAACGGGCACATGGATCCGGTTGTGAAAATGGCTGGATACATTCCCCTTAGTACCAGTGTGATGTGTTACAATCCTCTGACAAAACACAGCTTGAGCAGATCACGGACGGCTTGAGCAATTCACGGATTCCCCCCTGCCTCATTGGCAGGGGACTTATAAGAAACACAGGAGCAAGAAAAAAACGAAAACAGTAACATCCAGAATGTGACCGCCTTACCGGTGAGGTGCATTCTGTGAGGAAGACTCTGAGCACAGCCTCCAAGCTACTCTGCCCTACATCATTGCAGTAGAGATAGTATTTTCTTTTTTTCCTTTTTCTTTCACTCGCGGGCAATATAAAAACCTAATTTATGGGACAGTCCCGACCCTGTGTCCCACCCCCGATAACTTCCGGAACTGGCAAAACATCGTAATTTCCCAACCCAACACTGGCGGAGGTAATAGTGGGAAAAAAATAAAAATAAAAATAATTATCATGGATCAGAACCAACACTGCTTTTTTACTTCTCTTAGACACAAACACGAACTTGACCACTAGCACACCCCCTGCAGTGCTAGTGCTGCTGGTAAGAGCAGACATCACTAGCACCCGGGGAGAGGCTCCATCTATTGGTTTGGAGTGTCACCTGCTGGAAAACGGGTCCAACGTCCCTTACACAAGAGAATGTCTCCCTGATTGGTCAGGAGGTATGACTGAGAAGGACGCCTGCCAGCATTGATTACTCTGTCTCCAAAGGATTGACCGTGCAGGTTGTTGGAAAAAAGGGAGTAAACCTCTTCGCCCAGTACAAGGCGCCAGATTCCTACTGCTGAGAGACCAGTTCCTCTCTCTCCCAACTACTTTTTTCAAAAAACTTTACCCCCTCATCCCGCACTATCAATCCCTCCGTTCCACTCGATAACCTGGATGGCCTGGATGACGACAGTTCATCTCTTCAGAGATGCTGCTTTCGTCTTTTGATTCTTGAACTGGATGACTGGATGACTGGCCGCTTTGAGCAGACATAGTCTTGCTGCTTGAGCCCTTCTGCTGGTGCTCTAAGGTGGGGCGTGCGTTCCCCGGGGGGCACCGGGGATCGACACACCTTTATTACATGATCGCCGTCAAGGAGAGGGCATGGGGGGGAAAAGGGTTCGGGAAATCAGAGGGTGGGCGGAGCGGGAAAGAGGATTCAATACGGTCCAGTCCCTGAAGACCAGTCTGTAGTCTCTTGCTCCCTCCAGGACGTGGTTACTACCCGGGACATCCCTACTCCATTCAACCATTGCTATCCACCCTCCCCTCTTCCCCCACAGCCATTCTCTACTAAAGTTTGTGATTGCCCGTTTCACATCTCCTATTTGCTGATACAGGTCCAGTTGGGCTTTCAAGGCTAGCCATCTGCGTGTTAACCTGTTGTTGAATTTGTTATGTGATCTCCTCTCCTTCGACGCATACTTTTTCCATGGTCAGTAGGCATCGCTGCCACCATAAGGCCCACAACACTGCTTGTCTCCCCAGCCTATACATATTACCTGCGAAGGCCGTTTTTTCTTGCAATGGCCAGTGCCCCGCCAGGATCGCCTGCCAGGACCAGGGCCAGGGGCTTTGTATTCCCATCTTTCTCCACAGCCTGTCCCACCATCTCCATGTAAACAGCGTGATCGGGATTGCATGAAAATGTGTTCTATTGTTTCATTCTTCTTACAGGCTGGAAAAAATGAAGGCATCGCAGACACCAGGGCAGTGCAAGCCCTTTCTGTTCCAAATTGGTGTGGTTTATCAGCCAGTTATTGGTTGGCAGACATCGGTGTATTATTTGTCATTGCAATGACGTGATCTTGGCTGGTTTCGCCGTTTGCTCTTGGAACCACTTTATTGGTGTGAGCTGACTCTGGTCTACATTAAGGTGCTTGGCCCAAGGCTCCATGATGACGTCTCTCAGCTTTCGCTCGGGTCTTAACATTCCGTATGCAGATTTAACTGTCATCTTCTGCAGATTGGTTTGTTTTGGGGGTGGACCAGTTCGCCTTGAGGGGGCTCTCCACTGCCATTCTAGTGGGTCAAAGGCAAGCTCGTGAGTGCCTGTTTGTGGTTGGAAGACCACCTGTTCCCCCCCTTCCTCGAGGACCCTGACTCTATACAAGGTGTCCCGCTCCTGCCATTCCAAGGGAGCCCTGCTGCCCTGTAACCTGTTGGCCTGATCAAATTTATAATATTCTCTCAGGGCCATTCGTGGGTCCACTATATGAATTCGGCCCACCCGTCCCGGGTTCCCCCTTACCTCAACCCAATCCCCTTCCTTTAGTGTGGGCCCCCGTCGCAAGGTCCTGTGCCAGGCCAAAGGGACTGACTCAATAATTTCCTCTATGTGTTGTTCAATATGATGGCAGTACCGCAGGGATTCACGTAGTTGGTCTGTTGTCTTCCAATCATTTCTCTCGCTGTCCCACATGTCTCTAATACATAGGATTCCCCGCTTGACCCAACTTCTTCATGGTGCCTCAGTGCTATTTCTAACACATCCCTGCGAGTCCGAAAGCCACCTGTTTCCAAAGAGGGGTTGCCTACTAATTTCTTCCCATCGGTCCAGGTGGGGTTTGTCAGGAAGTGGTAGTTTGCGCCAGTTTATCAGCAGGGATGGCCAGAAGGTATCCGGCAGCTGATCAGACCAGGGACCCGCGAGATAGCCCAAAACCAGTCCTCTAACCACGTCGTCGGGTGGACATCCGAGGTGATAGCTGGAGCCAGGCGGGCTAGATGTTCCAAGGCCAAGGGTGCCCACGGGCAATTTAGGTTGAACGACAACTTCTTGATCCATTGCAGTTGTAATGCTTGTGTCTGGGCTGCCGGGTCAATCAGACCCAACCCTCCCCCTACCTTTGGCTGAACGATTGAGTCCCACGCTACGCGATTGATGACATTGGCTCTCTCACAATCTCCCCGCCAGAGGTAGGCCGCAACTTTGGCCTTGAGCGCTTTTGTTGCTGCTTTGCTTAAGGGCTAGAGCAGGGACTTGTACCATAGAGATGCAAACACAACATTATTGATTACCAGGGCTCTGCCAAAGAGGGAGGTGAGTTTATCTTTCCATGCCACATTAGTTTGGATAGAGCTGGTGCTCCGACCCATTCATCATTCGCTGTCGGGCAACCCATTGCTGTCATAGATATGCCCATAACCCTTAAAGGAGCATCCATGGGTAGCCATCTCACCAAGGGGCGCTCCGAAGGGCGTCACCCTTGATAGTGTATCCACCATCCTTGTGTTTTGCTACCCCAATTGACCGCCATGTCAGAGATCCCCTCAAATCTCAACATCATCTGCTGGATTTCCTCCATGTTCCGGTGAGTCGCCTCCACCATTATCGTGAGGTCATCGGCAAACAGCGAACATACCAGGACCGCGTCCTCTGGGATATTGGCAATTTTAATCCTAGTAATGTCCTTGTTGGCCCGCAAGTTTGCCGCCAAGGCCTCGATGATGATCAGGAATAAGAGGGGGGCAATGGGATCCCCTTGCCTCACAGGTCGTTCCAATCGTATTGTCGGTGCCAGGGAGCCATTAACCTGGACCCCAATGGTTGCGTTCCGATGCAAAATTTGCACCCATCTTCTGAAATTCGGCCCAAAGTTCATTCATTCTAAGCTCTTGTCCAAAAATATCCAATCCACATGATCATAGGTTTTCTCAAAGTCTATGAACATTAAGGCCGCGTTTTGTTTTAAGTGACGGGTTAGCTGCAAGATTTCATTCACCAGCATAATGTTTTCTTGTATATTTCGATTCTGCATAAAACCGGTCTGGTCTGGATGGATTATGTTCCCCATTAGGGGAATCATTCTTTCAACCAGGTGTTACATGCTGCGCTTGCAACAGGCTGCATGGGCCATTTTCAGGCCCGTGTCGTTTTCAGCCCGAAAGCCTGAAAACAAGAGCCTACAGGCCCTGTGTCGTTTCAGCCTGAAAGCCTGAAAACAAGGGCCTACAGACCCTGTGTCGTTTCTGCCTAAATCAGGGCCTTTCCGGCCCCGAGTCTTTTCAGTCTGAAACTGAGGGCCATTTTCAGGCCTTGATAAGATCGACCTGCCCTGAAACTCAAGCACCAGACTAGGGTTTTAGCTCAGGCCATTTTTGGTCTACTTTCAAGACAACCTTTGTTTGAGCTTCAACCCCAGGGGCTGGCACGTTTTGGCATTGGCAAGAGCAGCCTCCTGGACGGGCCAGCACTATATAAGACTGGCCCGCCCTGCAGGCTGCAGGTAGTTCATAGGGACTTCCCAGACACTTCACGTGCAGTTCAGGAGGCAGGAGGTAGTCT